ACAAGGGGAGTAGGTATTGAGACCCAGAAGGTTAAGTGGATTACGGAGACTATAATTACCTGTCCTTTCTGATAAGCTGGGTTAGTGCCTGACTTCCAACACTGAGGTTTTGAGGGATTTTATTTGTTTGGTTGTTTGTTTTTTTGTCACCTACTTTGAGAATGTTAAGAAAACAAACTGCATTGACTAGAGAGACAATATTACAAAGGTGTAAATTTTGCCTCAATAACTCCAAAAGTATAATGCTAATCCAACACACACACACAGACACAAACTCTCTTTCACACACACACACACACACACACACACACGCGCGTGATGCCCAGCTCCTGGAACACGGTCAGTTGCCATTATACACTGTTGCTCTTCCATTCTGGCTTCCAGGCCTTTGCTTGATGGCTCCCTGTTCCCAGGGTGCTCTGCCTGCTCCCCTCACCTTACCTCACCACCCGGCCCCGAACAACCTCCCTCTCTCCAGAACTGTATCAGCATCCGCTGGCTACTAATCACATGATAGTGTATTACCGTCTTGGAGGCAGAGGCCATGATTTCAATTCCTCCTGCCCTCAAAGCACCAGATGGGCCCTTGTACTTGGAGAGGCCACCAGCTTCTCTCCAGTCTGGTCCATCTCCACTTTTCCGCCTGTTCTCTGTAAGTCACTCTATGGCTGCAAGTCTTCCTGTGGCTTCCACTACGTAGGATAAACTCTAACTCTGGAGNTTGTATTTTCTTTTCTTTTAATTTATCTTTATTGTTGAAAGTATTAAGAATGTCCCCTTTTTTGCCCCATTGACCCCCTCCACCTTGTACCTCTCCCCCCAGGCCTTCACCACACTATTGTCTGTGTCCATGGGTTATGCATATAAGCATATAAGTCCTTATGTTAATCTCTCCCCACCCACCTCCTGCCCCTGCCTTCCCTCTGAGATCCCTCAGTCTGTTCCATGCTTCTATGTCTCTGGATCTCTTTTTTCTTTGGTTTATTTTGTTCATTAGATTCCACATATGAGTAATATCATGTGACACTTGTCTTTCTCTGACTGGCTTATTTCATTAGCATAATGCTCTTCAGTTCCCACCATGCTGTCAGAGGGTAAGGGATCCTTCTTCTTTACAGCTGCATAGTATTTCATTGTGTAAATGTCTGAGAAGATGCTTGATATGATTTCGATCTTCTTGAACTTGGAGAGACTTGTTTTGTGTCCTAACATGTGGTCTATCTTTGAGAATGCCCCATGTGCACTTGAGGAGAATGTATATTCTGCAGCTTTGGGGTGAAATGTTCTGTAAATGTAATTAAATCCATCTGATCTAGTGTGTTATTTGGAATCACTGTTTCCATGTTGATATTTTGGCTGGAAGGTCTATCCAGTAATGTCAGTGGGGTGTTAAAGTCCCCTACTGTGATTGTATTGCTGTCAATCTCTCCTTTAAAGTTCTCTAGAAGTTTGTGTTGTGTGTTTTTTCATCCTGTGTGAGTCTTTTGTTCTGAGGTGAGTCTCTGGAAAAAGCATATATTTGGGTCTTCTTTTCTTATCCATTCAGCTACCCTATGTCCTTTGATTGGAACATTTAATACATTTATATTTAAGATTATTGTTCTTAGGTACTTATCTATTGCCATTTTATTTCTTTGTGCCTATGTTCTCATTCTCGCTATTTCAACTTCTTATTGCAGCAGTCCCTTTAACATTTCTTGCGGTGCTGGTATGATGATGATAAATTTCTTTAGACTTTTTTTTTTTTTGTCTGGGAAACTCTTTATTTCACCATCTATCTTGAATGATAGCCTTGCTGGATACATTAGTCTTGGTTTCAGATCCTTGTTCTGCATTACCTTGAATACTTCATGCCATTCCCTTCTGGTCTGTAGAGTTTCTAATGAGAAATCAGCTCACAGCCTTATGGAAGCTCCTTTGTATGTGACAGATTGCTTTTCTCTTGCTGCCTTTAAGATTTTTTTTCTTGAATTTTTGGCATTTTAATTATGATGTGTCTGGGTGTGGGCCTCTCTGGATTCTTCTTGCTTGGGACTCTCTGTGCCTCCTGAACTTGTGTGGCTTTTTCCTTGACTAGGTTAGGGAAGTTTTCTGCCATTATTTCATCAAACAGGTTCTCTAATCCTTGCTTACTTTCAACCTCCTCTGGCACTCCCATAATGCAAATATTGTTACATTTCATGTTGTCCCACAGCTCTCTTAAGCTGTCCTCCTGTCTTTTAATTGATTTTTCTTTTTGGTTCTCTGAGTGATTTTTTCTACCCTGTCTTCTAGTTCACTGATCTGATCCTCAGCTTCCTCTCATCTGCTGTTTATTCTTTCCAATGTTTTTTTTTTTTTTTAATTTCTACTATGTCATTCTTAATTTCCCTCAGAGTTTCTATTTCTTTTCTCATGCCATTGAGCATCCTTATGATCAGTATTCTGAATTCTATATCTGATAGATTGCTTATCTCTATTTCATTTAGCTCTTCTTTTGGAGAATTGTTTTGTTCTTTCATTTGGGGCTTGTTTTTTAAGTCTCCCCATTTTGGCTGCCTGTTTGGATTTGTTTCTATGTATTAGGTAGATCTGCTAGGACTCCAAGTTTTTTGGATGGTCTCTGGTGCAGACCAATGTCAGACGCTGTTTGTGACTGGCCTTGAGAACCCTGTTTGAAGTTTCCACACTCCACAGCTTCTCATTTCCTCTGCTGAGGCTGGGTGTGTTTGGACAGGACCAAGGTGCATATCAAGGTCTGCTTTTCCAAACCCATTTTCTATGCAGTCTCCACTTTTCATCCTTGGTGATGAGGGTGCTCTCCAGCTTGTCTTCCGTTGCAGTTGATTGTTCAGGATGATTTTTCTATATTTTAGTTGTATTTCCAGTTTGGCCCTGGGAGAGTGTCAGTGTAGCTTCCACTCAGTTCACCGTGCTATCTTGGAATCCTCTGTCCTTGTATTTTCAATGCCTATTCAATTCCTTCAACGCTGCAGGGGCTCTGCAAGTACAGAGTGGTGAATGAATGAATGAATGAATGTGTTCAATATATATTTGCTTATTGTTGATATTAGACCCTGAGAATGTTGGGAGATATAAGAGAAGGTCCTAAGAGAGTTTTACAGCCTTTGGTATCCTTGGGAAAAAACAAATCTTGGCTTAGGACCAGAGGCCTCAGACTCACCGAACTCTCCCCTACTATTGGAAACCCAGCCGGCTCCTGGAATATTTGGTGAGAGGTTATTTCAAAAGAAAACAATAATCCTTCAGCTTAATTTAATAATTATTTCTTTTTTATAAAACCCTTTATATTGGCCTCTTTTTTCTTAATTTTACAGAGAGATACACTAGCACTTACAATCCTTTGATTTGCAGGATTGCAACAGGCAGGTTGTCTTCCTGGACATATGTCGTATGCAGTCACACAGGGCCCCACTCAGAAGAACCCCTCGCTTGTCTTGTGTTACATTTTTATTCCTACATTGTGGCTTCCCAAAGTATTTCTTTAATTCTTCCAGTGCTGCATGTATCTTTGCTGTATTTATTATTCTAAAATATAGATTTTAGATGGAAAATACTTGAGAAATCTCCATCCTACCCCTCTTTGCTGTTAAAATGTGACTACCATAGGTTTTCAACTGTGCACTTCCCCTCTGATGTGAGACACAGCAATGAGTTATGGAGGCAAAAAGTGGTTCACCTGCAGCCTTGCTCTGCTCCGTCGCCCTTCCCAAGAGGCCCAGGAAATGTCAGGTCATGGCTGTACCCAGGCTACAATGGTACTGACTACAGCCAGGTCAGAAAGGGCTCGCTCTTGTTCAGAGCAGACTCGACATCATTGAAGAGGGGGATCAGATCTTCAGATTCCAGAGTCTCGAGGTCCATGTTGGTTCCCAGGAGACAGTCCAGAAAATCAGGGAAACGGGTTTGCTGAGGACTGATGTTCATGGGTGTCTACTCTGTGCTTTCTCTTGCAACAGAATGAAAGGAAACCATTTTGACTCCCTTTTTAAGCTCTTGAAAGAGGGCCAGTCCAAGTGTTAACACAACTTTTGTCTTCACTTGCATTGGGCTGACATTGAAACTGATTACATTGCTGGGGGTCTAAAGTACTTCATGTCTGGGCAAAATTTCAGCTACCCCACTGACAGAGCTGGCGATGCTTGCTCCTGAGATGCAGAGGTGCCAAGGATCTTTAACTGTCCTGGGGAGCCATGGTCCAGATGGACAAGTCCAGGGGACAGGGAAGGCACCAGTGAAGGCCCCAGGGGTCTGACCTACAATCTGTGCCTTCCCAGCAGCAGGAAGAGCTGTTTGTGAAAGAGCGAGAGGCCCTGACTGTAATAAATGCCTTATCACAGGGCTAAACTCTCAGGATTTAACCGCAAGCTTATATGTACCCATATCCTCACTCCATGTTCAAAGGTAGTAGTGAGGTGTGTCTTTGAACCGTGTTATTAAAAAGCTGTCTTCACTGATTGCTCTAGGGATCAACTTCAAAGCATTTTATAAAGTGGGTTCTGCAGATCACCCCTCTCCTTCCACCCTCCCCCAAACTCTGCATTTCTCACAATGGAGGTGAGTCACAATGCCTGTGAGCACAGGAGGGTTATGAGAAGTCTTGCAGTCAAGAATCTGCTTTATTTTGTCTAAGCCACTATCAGCAAAGCACATTTAATCACCTAAACCATTTGTGGCAGAACTTATATCCTGATAGAACCAGAGCTTGTGGAATACACTTAGTCTCCATGGCAAAATGGTTACTCTGAACAAAGTACTAACAAAAAAGGCCTGTGGGTCAGTGAAGATATACAAATAGCAATCGCCGTCCAGGTTCTGCTCCATTTCAGAAGCTGGAGCAGCCCCACGGACACACTGCACAGGCTGGTTGGCATCTCAGCTCCGACATACAGACTGAACTGGGGACACAGACTAGGACCCTCTGCCGGTGACTTTGAAGAGACCCCGTGAAGGAGGCAGTGAGGGACCCCTCTCCGGGACCTGTGCTGTCCTTCCCCAGCATGTGCACCGGCGGGTGTGCCAGGTGCCTGGGGTGCATCCTCCTGTTGCTTTCCATCATTGCCTTCCTGGCTAACGCCCTGCTGTTTTTACCTGGAGGAAAAGAGACAGACAACACCAGCCACCTTTCAGAAGAGGTCTGGTATTTCGGAGGAATATTGGGAAGCGGGTTCTTGGTGAGTAGCAAAGCCTTAAAATCCCCTTGAAGGAGATTCTCACCCCATTTTTCTAAACCGGGCACTTACTGACCAGGAAAATATTTAGCTGCTTGGTGAAAAGCCAGTGCCCTACCTGTTCCTTCTCCACTGGGGCCTGACAAGGACCTGTCCGCTGTTATTTACTAGGTAAATTGAACTTGGGCTGGTGGCTCTCATGGGCCAGTTAAGCTCCAGGAAACAAACTGAAGGTCACAGAATTTCTTAAATCTAACAAGAGAGGGGCCTGGCAGTAGGAGGGGTAAGGGGTGGAAACACACTTTCTAGCAAATTGATTGACTGGAACCACTAAGAAGCAGGTGTCAGTGGATTCTCTCTCCTGGTGCCCAAAGGCTTTCTCATTTCTGGTTCCAATAGAGACTGGGAACTTCCACTTTAGAGAGAGACACTTTGGTGACAATCCAGGTCACTTTCTTTTTCTTGGAAACTTGGAGTGTCAGATCTTGAAATCTTGCTCCATTGAAACTGCAGTTAATCCAAATGGTATCTAAATGCTCAAAAACACTGGGCCACCCTGCCAGCCATGCCCTGTCAGGTCCTGCCATACCCTTTGGCCACCAAGTGCCACACCATGGCTGTGGCTCCTCACACAGTCAGGCAGGCATGGGCCTTCCTTTCACATCCAGACTCATTCTGAGGCGCTTCTCTTACTGACAGATGCTCCTCCCTGCTAACATATTCTTGGACCTGAATTACAATGACTGCTGTGGGTGCTGTGGCAACGAGAAATGTGGGAAGAGATTTGCGGTGAGTTACCAGGGGGACACCAGAATTATTCCCGGGTACACTGTCCCCTTGTGCTGGGCATCTTGAGGGTGGAGATGAGTAACCAGCCCCAAGCGGGACTCTGGGGACAGCTGGTGCAGGGATAGAGATGGAATTCTCCCTGTGGATGGAAAGTAACAATAAGGATAAATTCTCTGCAGAGCTGAGAACTGCAGTGGAGCAATATACAGAATGCAGGCTGGGAGGGCAGAGATGGGGACTGGCTCTCTCCCTCGGCCATGAGGCCCTGAGCCTTAGACAAGTCATTCCCTTCTCTGGTCCATCTATAGAGGGGTTAGGATATGAAAGCAGATGGTGACCTCTTCTCCCCAATAGCCACCTAAATACCCCACCCACACCACTGCCAGGTCAGTTCCTCAGTGCCCAGCTCTTCCCCCTTCTCCCTGAATTTTTCCTCCATGCAGCCATCCATCTTTTCTCGAGTGGGTGGAAAGATTAGCCATCCATCCTCCTCATGGGGTGGGGAGAATTCTAGGTCATGAGCTCGGGGCCCATTTCTACAACTGGCCAAGTCACTGTCCTGCTCTCAGCCTCCCTCTGCTCACCTGCACTATGAGGAAGTTGGACTAGGTCAGAATTCCCCAAGCTTGGGATGTGCTCTGCTGGTACTCAGATGTGATATGCTTTTCAACAGCATGGCAGGTTTCTCCCTTTTCACTTCCTCTTGCACCCTTTGAGTCTATCATGAAAAATGTCTTGTTTTGATGGAAAGAAGCCCTTACTACCCCTAACCCCTCAAAATCCCCCTTTCTAACAAAAAGAGCACAAGCCCCCAGCTCCAGGGTTGCAAGCAGCACTAACAGAGAAGTCAGTGATGTTGTGTCACATTTGCTAAAGATCCTAGCTTTTCACTCAGAGGATGTAAATGGATGAAGGAGAGGGTTGACTTAAAGAGAAGTATCAGGAGATCGGGTACATTGATGTGGCAAAGGCGAAGGTAGAACTGGAATGAGGCGCGATGAGGGGTGAGCTCAGCTCCTGCTCCATCCCCTGGGGTGCAACCATCCACCTGAGAGGCTCCCGAGCCCCAGGGATGAACTATACACACTCACCTTAACTTCTTCAAGGGGAAGCTATCTGCTCTGAAACAAAACCATGTCATCATTCTCACCATCTTTGCTCATTTATCCAATCACACAATATTTCTTGAGCACAAATGAAGGGCTGAGGCCGGTGCACTGCACACACCACACAGGTGTCCACCTGAGATGAAAGGTCATTCAAAGAAAACGTCTCACCTTCATAGCACCATCATGAGTCCTCAGGAATCATCAATTACTATAACAACCCTTATATCATTACTTAGAAAGAGATGTAAAATACCACAATTTATTTGATAAAATTATATTACATGTTATATGTAATATGGTATTTTTAAGTAATTAAGATAGGAAGAAATATATAACTCATTTCTCCCTTGAAATGTAATCTTGCTCTGCTTGGTAGACTTTGAGGGAATATGTGGAAAATGATAATTTGAAAAATAAAAAGGAAATTGAGTGAAAAGAGAAGACTCACTGCTTCCAGTCCACCAGCTCATTCCCTGCTATTGACTAGAGGTGAAGATTAGCCCATTAAAACAAGGTTTGGTTTATTTTTATTTTTTGGCTTATTATAACCACAGCAAAAAGTGAAGAAAAATTCAAAGTATTGTACAAAACTTTTTTTTAAATTAGATATAAGTGAAGTCCAAGAGGCAGGCTCAGAAGTCATGTGTTCACAAGTACAGCTGAGTCAATCCGATCTGAAACATTTGGTCTGCCCAATTCCAGTTGTCTGTCTGAGCTTCCTAAACCCCCTCATCCCCAACACCTGGGTGGGACCTCCCTTGGTGAGAGTTGAGGATGACACCTCCAAGTGACTGGCCAACTGTCCACAGGGCAGTGCCCATCAAAGGAGCGGCCAAGCCAGTCTGTAAGCTGAGGCCCCAGCCACAGTTGCCCTGGACCAGGGACCACCGCACTCTAGGTGGCCAGCAGAAGCATTTCTTGCTTTTGTTTGGTTTGCAATCAGCTGCCAACTTTTCAAACTGCAGTTCATTAAAGTATGTAGATAACTTACCTCTTTTTCAAAACGTATGCTACTCCTGGCCTGCATTTTGCACAGTGGCCTACACAGGGCAAGGCTGAGCCCTTTGTTAGCGCCCCTACCTGCCCCCCAAGAGCCATTGCATGGTGTCCTGCTCTGGAGCCACGTCTCCTTATTGTTCTGAGAATCTGGACAAAGCAATAACCATTCCATAAAGACAGGTATTTACAAACATTTGACAGACCAAGAGCAAGCAGCTATAGCCTGGCTGAGCAGCGCTCTAATGCTGAAAGCTTTGAATTCTTTCTCCCAAGGCTCACAGCATCCCCTCCAGTGTTCAGGGAAAGCGGGGCTTCTGTGGAACCTGGTTTAATGAATCCTGCTGGGTAGAAAGGCCCGTGAGGCATAAATAGACTGGGCCCAGGACTGAGGGCTCAGTCCTGCTGCTGTCCCCACAGCCTTGCTCGCTACCCTTTCCTGGCCCCTAGGGCCCTGTCCTCTCCCTTGCTATGTCTGTCTAGAGTATTCCCCAGAAGTCAGCTGCATCAGTTCTTTGAAATAATAATCTTGAAAGAAGAAATGCAGTATGGAACGCTCTTTCTTCACTAAGTGTTATTTATGCTGTAAAATGGACCATGGCACTTGCTCCCTTTCATAGGGACATTGCAGGGTTTGGGGAAGATATTGTAAGCATTCGTGTGCCAGGAAGGGGAGAGTGGTACCAAGTGCCTGGGGTATTGAGGACACAAATGTCCTCAATAAATGCTTGTTGGGTAAGTGAAGTAAATGAACACTCAGGAGGAATTTCAGGTGATTTCTAAACTCTCAGGCTAAATTCTCACAAAATCTTTTGAGTTAGGCACTAAACACCCTTTTTATAAATAAGGAATCTGAGGCACAGGACATTAACTTCCTGACTGCAATGCCCCACCTCGCCGTGCTTCCCCCTTCCCGAGGGTAGGAGAGGCTGAAAATACAGGACATTAACGTTTTAGGGGGAAAAATACACTTCAGGTCATCTCTATATATCTCTTAGAATAATTGATAAAGAGGAACCTCCACGCCCACCAGAGATGTTTCTCCAACATGTTGCCACTACACAAGTCTCTACACACCATGTCCCCAAACCACCCGCTTTCCCTCCGTTCCCAGCCGCCAGGGCCTCCTCCCTCAGGTTCAGCAGACAGAAGTACTCGGCTGACCAAGGACCCCGAGGACGGGGGCAGAGCTGGGGTCTGATCCCGACTGGTCAGCCTCCAGAGCCCGACAGACACGGAGGTCACGGAGCTGACATTGGTGAATTGGAGGGCACCTGAGTGGAGGGCAGGTTCATCTTCCGTTTCAAGGGAAGAGCTCACAGCAGATCATAAACGCAGGTGTTTATCCACGTGGACAGGACATTGAACAACCCTAAGAGAGTGAGCCCTTTACTTTCATTTTTCTGCCCAGAGTGATGCTGTCTGTATTTGTGGAAAACAGGAGTGTGTGGGGACAGGATACTAAACATATTACAATATAATAATGACATTTATCAAGTGCTCGCTAATGACTTGGGAAATTATCTGAAAGTTGGACATAGGCAGAGACTTCTGGGTACCCTGTTAGTGAAGTACTGGGCACTATCTAACAGCCCCCCACCTGGGCTTGTCTGAGTTTCTAGAGTCTGTACCTTTGATGCCCCATTCGCTATTGATCAGATGATATTGCTTAGTATTGTCTCCTCCGGGCAGGTACTGATTATTGAGCCTATTTTACAGAATGGAAATAGAGGCCTCAGAAAGGTAACTTGCCGAGGTCATAGGGAGCAACCAGGGCTCAGACCCAGACTGGTCTGCCTGTCATTCAGGCCCGTGACCACTGCACTGTAGTGTCCCTCCTTAGTATTTATTCATTTAGATGAAGAAAGACATTTCCCTAGTACAAAGACGACAAAGGAAGCTTTCCCTTCCAGGCTCCAAATTCTGGCTGCTCCTCCCCTCCCCACCCCATAGGTGACCCCTGTTCCCAATATTGTGTCTTCTCCTGGAGACATTCCAAGCCTGCTGCCTGTTTACTTTTTAAAAAAAAACAACAAACAAACAAAAAAAAGAAATGGGTTCCAACATGGCTACAGACTGAGTAGAAACTACACTGACACTCTCCCGGGACCAAGCTGAAATTACAACTAAAACATAGGAAAACCATCCTGAAAACCAAGTGAAGACAAGCTGGAGAGCACCCTCATAACCTAGGAGGAAAAGTGGAGACCACAGAGGCCGATAGGAAGTGCAGAGGCATGAGAGAGGGCTGGCTGGGCTCCCACAGGCAGCAGCTTATGGTCCAGAGGGATATCCAGCTGTGGGGGTTCCCACTGAGGACTCTGGGGCCTAAACCTCAGGCTTGGCTTCCCAGCCTAGAGCATCAGAACTGAGAAAGGTGCCCACAACATCTGGCTGTGAAAAGCAGCAGGGTTTCTGTTTACCAGGGAGAGGCAGCTGGAACTGCAGGTACCCTCTTAAAGAGCCAACACACAGTTTTGTGTGCAGCCACTTGCCTTGGGCTCCAGCAGAGGGTGGGCAAAGTGGACTGGAGCAATGTGGGGAGAGTCTGGGGTTCTGGGCTCTGGAGAATGAGATCAGGGTACACCCCTCTGGATTCCTCTGCCAAGTCATTCCCTCAGACCGTGGGGGATGTCTTTCTCAGGGAGCCAATTTTTGGCTTTTGCCTGAGGAGGAAAGCAATTCCCCCACCCTGCTGGAAAGCCTGTCCCCCTGCCCGGAGGAGTCTGTACAGCCCGAGGCTTGTTAAGAGACTGATAAGAACCAGCTGCCCCACCCTGTAGAGCTACTACAGCCTGAGGCTCATTAAGAGAACCAGATTAATCAGCCTGCAGGCAGAGGCAGAACTCAGGGTGCTTTGAGTCTTTCCCTGATCTGCTTTGGGACCTGGGCCTT